TATATATATATATATATATATATATATATATATATATATATATATATATATATATATATATAATACCCTGGCAGTAGCCTGTCTTGGGGTCGAGACAAGCGAGCGCATGCAGCACATCGTAGAGTTTCTGCTGCCCCCGCGGCGAAGCAAAGCTGCAGATACACCCCACACACATACACATGAGCTGCTGCAGCAGTGCATGCAGCAGCAGCAACTGCAGCAGCAACTCATGCTGCTGCTGCAGCACACACAACACACAACAAATCCAGCAACTACAACCGGAACGTGCAGACTAAGCTGCAGTTGCAGAAGCAGACACAGCAGCAGCAGCAGCAGAAGCAGCAGCAGCAGCAGCAGCAGCAGCAGCAGCAGAAGCAGCAAGAGACAATCGCAAACTGACACGCCTTACAGCAGCAACAGCAGCACCAAGTACAGCAGCAGCACTAACAGCAGCAGCAGCAGCATCTGCAGGATATTACAAAGACCGACTAGGGAATGTGCGGGAGCAGCAGCAGCAGCTGCTGCTGCAGCAACAGAAGCAATGGCAGCAGCAACAGAAGCAATGGCAGCAGCAACAGCAGCAGCAGCAATAACACCAACAGCAGCAATAACACCAACAGCAGCAGCAGCAGCAGCAGCAGCAGCAGCAGCAGAAGCAGAAGCAGCAGCAGCAACAGCAGCAGCAGCAGCAGGAACAGCAGCAGCAGCAGCAACAGCTGCAGCAGCAGCAGCAGCAGCAGCAGCAGCAGCAGCAGCATACAAGGGTCTAGTAGGGAATGTGCGGCAGACATCTCTGCGTATTTCATCGGCGAGGGTTTGGGGGGGGGAGGCAGCGAGGAGACAGCTGAATACAGCTCTGCATGCACCAGGCAAAAAGCCCCGGCTCCTCCATCTACTCTTCTTTCTGCTGCTGCTGCAGCTGCAGCAACAAACCCTGCTGCTGCTGCTGCTGCTCCTGCTGCTGCTGCTGTTGCTGCTGCTGCTGCTGCTGGTGCTACCCGCTGCGGAGACGTCAGCT